ATCGTCAGGGATCTATGCATCTCTTTGTGTAAGCGATTGTTGTCACTGCGCGGCGAGTAACAAGATGAAGGTTTAACAAATCATTCAACCTCACCGAAAGCATAATTACAATACTTAGACGCTAAACAAGTCAACCCAGAAAATACGATGTATTCACAGAATTCATTTTCAACCGGCCGCCTAGCAAGAAGACACAGCAGACACTAGCAACAGTCATGCCTATATCAGTAGACTCAGCAATCGGAGACATCCGAGAACCCAAGCCACGCACCTTGGAATACTATGAGATCATGGAAGCTGGAGATACTTGCTACGTGAAGACGAGATGAAGCTAGGAGGCCCTTAGAATTTATCATTCTTAGGGCAAGATGTGTTACTGGGAAGTCTGAAAACTTAGTTTTCAGACTTCAATCACTGACAGGGGGGATTGTGAAATTTCGTGCTTTTTGAGTGCCTGGCAAATCCGAGTCATAAAGCTATGCCTGGTCGCTATGTAGTTGTATTATTTACTAGACTGCAGAGCCTGGTTCGAAATCGTAAGAACCCGGCTGTTCTGCTCTCAGGCTTGGTTTGGCGGTGATGTAAGATTCAGGTTGAAGGTTGAGGAAAGTCGTCAGTAGTGGTGTTACTTGCAGTGGTGGGCTGGAAGTAGTCGTGGCGGCGATGGTTGCAGTCGTGGTAGAGTTGTCGGAAATATTGATGGTTGTGGTGGGCGATGGTATTCGCAAGGGCAGTCGTAGCTGCTGTAGTAGCACTGGCGGTGATAGTACTACTGCTACAGCCACTACGACGACGACTTGACTGATGACCATTACTCCTAGAAGCATCAGCAGCTTAGGGCTGCTACGACCACTGCAACGATTCTAAGTAATTCCGAAGTCATCGCGAAGGTTGCAATGTTGACGCTAGCATGTGGATTGCATTTTCTTGCTGGAACAACAATGAATGAACAGAATATGAGTAGGTGTATATGTACACATGCACACACACACAGAGACACACGCACACCCGCAGAGAGGGCTGAGTTAGACGACGAGCACGATTCATTGCAGATGCGATCCTGCTTCCACCATGATGTTCCCAAAGCAGATGCTCAGGGCGTGGCTTGGTTCCTCGCACGGCTGCAGCTGTGCTTGAAGCCCTCGTGGCGGCCTTACAGAAAAGATGCTTCTGCGATTTCCATTGTAGTGTAGGGGCTCTGAAAGGTCTGTGTGAGGCAGCCCGATATGAGCTTGAATGCTTTTGAGACAACGACACTCAACATGCTTATGACATTCAAGCTGATAGTAAAGATGCTGCAATTCCCAGTACTCCCGTTACAGATCTTAGACGTGTTTGGATGCACAGTCGGATTTCCGCAAAGGGCCCGGAGAGGAATGTGAAGATTGGCTCCTTAGTTCCCTAAAGCTCAGACTTCTTGTTTCGCTTCTTTGGGACTGCTTGTAAAGATTTGCATTGCTGCCTGAATTTGCTTTTTCTACAGTCATTCTTGCTCCCACTGTTAAGAACCTCTCGCCTGGCCAGAAGCTCTCCGCTAGGATTGGCCTCTGCTTCCGACATGCCCATTCCAGGCCCACCCCGAGTTCACGGAGAGCACAGTGACCGTGTCCTATCTGGAAATCTACAACGAGGCAGGGTTGGGGGTTTGCCAGGCTTCAGCCGAATCTTCAAAGCTGACACTCCCAAGCCTCATGCGCAGCCTTTCTGTTAGCTCGACGCAGGCCCTTGCATGTATCGCCTCCAAGTGCTTTGTGCACCGTGCTACAGCACGGCTCAACCCTCACTCAGTTCCGCAGCGCCCCAAGCCCTACACCCCCATCCACGACTTCCCAATCTTGAACCCTACACCCTTAACCCCGGTGTCCTGAACCCTAGAACCTTAAGCCCAAACCGAAAAGCCCAAAGCCCTAAGCCTGAAAACCCTAAACCCTAAACCCTTAACCCTAAACCCTAAACCCCTGAACCCTAAACCCCCAAACCTTCAACCCCAGAGCCTAGTTAAGGTTTCGGATTGAATGCAGCGCTCGGGCGTGAGGAGTTGAGCGACCTCTTGGCCACTGCGGAGCGCCACCCAAAGCTGGACCTGAAGGCCCGAGACCCGTTTTTGATAGATCGACAGATGAATAGATAGATAGATAGATAGCAGACAGATCAGATAGAGAGGCAATTGTAGCTTTGGCTGTATGCTGGTCATCAGCATACTTCTTCTGTTGTCATTGCCGCAGGGAGCGCGCTTAGTGTTTTTGCTTGCGAAGACTACCCCGCCAGTATGTCGCCGATCACTCTACCATGGTTTTCTTTGATACAGAACCCGATGCCACCCTGATAGATGAGAACACTGCTACAACCGGGAAGTCTCAGCAGGATATTGGCAGCGGCCGTGGCGTCTGCTGCCAAGGCCTGTCAGAGGCACTGCCGCCACTCGTTGGTTCGTTGGGGTCCCTAACCCCAAACCCAAAGTCCTGACTTTCAAAACCCGGAGCCTTTCATCCTGCATCCAAGACGGACTCCAAGATCGAAAAAAGCAAGTAGGTCGATTTAGGCCTGCGAGCTTGCAGCTTGTCAGAGCCAGATTCACTGAACCTGCAACCAACAACTCGAGTACATCAGCTCAGGCCAACATCTAGTTGCAAGAAGCTCAGAAAGCGAAGTGGGAACCAACGCCCAGCTCGGTCAGTCCGGGTTGAGAGCATTCAAAACAGGAGCATTTAGGACTCTGTGGATCGCATGAAGCATTATGGGACGATTGTGGTGGCTCGGCGTGATCCTCTTCGCCGCCCCCTCGCAGAGTTGTGGCCAATGATATCAGCTCTGATGATGAAGACAGGAATCGTCGTGATCCGAACAATAGGGTACGATCGTCATATAGGTTATACTTATACAAATCATGTTTGTTTCGCCTATTACTATCACGACGACGACTACTGCTGCTGCTGCTGCTGCTACTACTACTGCTACTACTGCTACTACTACTGCTGCTACTGCTACCACCACTACCACCCCCACCATCACTTCCAGTAGCGCCACGACCACTACCACTACCACAATACTACTGCAATAAGTCATACCAGTTGGTCTTGACCCCACCAAAGCATTCCTGGCGTTGCTGTTTTTGTTTGGTTTTTAACCCCTTCTTGTCACTTCTCCCGTCTTCCCCTCATCAACAAGTAGCCAAGCAGTCACAAAGACGCTAGCAAAGCAGTGTACTGAGAGACCTTGACTCCGCTGGAGAGGCCTCGAAGCCTCTGTGCCATGCCGGATGGGGCCTCGCCAGCACCGACGGTCGAACTCCGTCTCCTGAGCACAGCCGCCGCGCCTTCGCCCGAGGCTGAACACCATGGCTTCCTGGAGGTGCCCTCTGCACGCCGAGGGCACCGAAGATCGAGCCTGGCTCGCTTGACGGAGCTGGAGCACCAGCTGCACAGAGACAAAGGCCACCTCGCAGAAAAGAAGTTGGCAAAAGCCCTGGCCCTGGTACTGTATACCTTGGCCCGCATCTCTGCAAACCTTGTCAGTATTGACTACGAGAATCACATAAGGATTGTGAATGCCCTTGCAAGGCCTCTGGTTACGGGACTAGGTGTGGGGATGTTCCTGATTCGAGAAGAGCGGTTTTCGACGAAGTCGCGTCTGCTGATCTGGAGCCGCCGGACGGTGTTTGTACTCGCGATCTTCGTCTTTGATGAGAGCATGTCAACACTGCGAGCTGCCTTGCCCATCTTGTCTGTTCTACCTTGGGAGATCACTTGCAATGTCATGCAGGTTCACATGACCAACCTAAGATTGCAAGCTTTGGGATGGCGATTGACGGCCAAGTTCTGCCATATTATGGCAGCGATCGGCTGCAGCTTCTTGTTGGGGGGTCTGGTAATCCTAACTTCTCGGATCTCCATCAGCGAATTTGGCAAGGAAGGCAATTTAACTGTGGAGCGTGTTGGTGCTCCAGCATCCTTCCTGCTTTTTTTCAGCTTCTTCTGCTGCTGGACGACACTCTTCACCCAGTGTGGGGCTTTGTGCCAGGCGGGGAGCAAAGCTATGGTTGCAGGGCGTGCTGACCTTGATCTGGACCTCAAGCTAACGGCCTGCTTTTTGTACTTGAATGCTCTTCTGGTGCTGCTTGGCCCTGCTCTGGGCTTCTGGAGTTGGGCGCAGTTCGTCAGGCGCATTGAGATGACATGGCTTACCATTGACATCTGCGTGCAGATCTTCACTGCCCTTGCCTTGAGCGGGATGATGGGGCCTCGGAACCCCATGGACGCATTCCGAAAACTCGCGGACCTGTCGGGCTACGGCTTTGCATCCAAGCGCATCACCTTCCCTGGGCACATCAACGAAAGGGCTGCAAAGTGTATCGTCTCCTTTCCGGGGGTCTATAACAAGCTCTGGGACAAGGCCGTCAAAGCTGTCAGGGATGACTTCGTGACTGAAGAGGACCTGTGCTCTTTGGCATGTGTGTTCTTGACAGACTCGGCCTCTGGTTTAGGGCAGCACTCCATGAATCCGGACACGCCGGGCAAGTGCTGGTGTCATGCTATCTACGGTCAAATTCGGGCATCGGCATACCTCCGCGTGGTGGAAGTGGATCCGTGCGAGGCCGACAGCATTGAAAGTCGGGAGAAGCTGCGTCACGAGGTGGCGGATGCCGACGCCATGAATCAGGTTCTACTGATCAAGAGCGAGCAGAACGACCTAGAGTGGCAGAAGCAATACGCGCGAGCCTTGCGTACAGCTCGGGATCTTGGCCAGGAGAACGGTGGGCGAGCACCCTGGGGCTGCCAATGGTTCGAAGTCTGGAAGAAGAACGTGGACCGAGCCGTGGAACTGAAGCAAGAGCTCCACGTCTTCTACTTCCAAGGGAGGAAGGGTCAAGGGAAGCTAAGCTGGGAGGATCTCTCTAGCGATGCCGCGAAGAACAGGGTGAGGCCGGAGTCGGGTCTGGGCGCCTCTCAGACGGCGGAAGTGGCCTACCTCCTGAAGATGGGGATCCCCTTTAAAGAGCACGATGTCCAGGACTTCCTGAGCTTTCTGTCCTCCGAGAGCTCCTAGGGAACTCTGGTTCCCCCGAAGTGGGGCCCAGGGTTCGCCGTGGCGTCTCCCGAGGCAAAAACTGAGGCTGAGGGCGCTTGGGGATGCTTCAGGGTTCTTGTGTCAGTGGCTCTGAAGGCTAAAGCGTGTCCGGTGAATAGTTTGAATAGGCAGGCAGACAACGTGTGTTCAGAAACACCCTACTATGAATGTAATCGATGTATAAGTTGCTTCAGCTGCGTAGTGCATGGTCATACATGCAGCACGCAAAATGCAACGCGTAGCAGGCCAGGGCCTAGTGTCTTGCACCTGGTGTCGAGTTTTAGCTGCATAGTGTTCACACACATTTTTTTCCTCACTCAGCTCCACGTGCACATCAACTAGGTACGGTAACACTCTGATGACTTGAAAGCACGAAGTGCGGCAAGTGAAGGGCGAAAAAGAAGTCCAAGCTCTTAGTAGAGCCTGGGTTGTTTTGAACCTATTTTTTCCACTATCCATGGGTATAGTCATACCACAATGGACCCCTACACCCCCCATTCTACTTCTTAAAGTCTTTGGAGTTAAGTGCATATACTTCCGCTTCAAGAAGATCCTGGCTACACGGACAGGAACAGAAGCATGGAAAGCATAAGGACACAGACTCATCGTAACTTTCATGTTCACAATCTTCTTTTCTGTGTTGATGGTTCAGCTCCTAGACTCTAGGTTTGTAGTAGCAAGCGTGGTGGCAATCATCGTTCATGCCGACAGTTCAGCTCCCGAAGGTGGAAGTCCACAACATGGAGGACATCCTCGAAGTGGTTCGTCGTGCGCAGGCACAAGTCGCTCATTCGGGATGCTAAGGGGGTGCTGTCGGTGTCACTGTCGTGGTTTGTGTGATTCCATGGTGTGTGTGTGTGTGTGTTCCTGGGTTCTCGGCTATATCCTGTGTCAACGTTTCAGAGTCTCACAAAGTTCGCCCAAATATTTATGGCGACTATTTCTCCTGCGCTGAAGCAAGGTGCAGCGATCAATTGCAGCGACCAGTTCATGCAGTTTCGGGTTCTGCAGTGTTCAGATGTTCAGGGTCAGGAGTTCGGTTAGGAGCCAGGCCTCTGTGATGCCAGGAGAAAAGGCGCGTTGCCGAGACCCGCGTGAACGCACGGAGCAGCCGATCCCACAGCATATTCACGATGAAGGCAGATCCGGGCTTCTTCCGTGCTTGTGTTTTTGGCTGAGATTGCCTGTCTGTCGGGGTGGAGGCGGCTTGTCGGATCTTGAACCAGGATTCCTGTCAAGGGTTTTGACCTTTAAAGGTCATAGAACAGGGGAGCAATGATAAGGCAGTGACCTAGACAAAGATGATGACGGCGGTGGTGGCGGTCCTCATCGTAGAAGAAGGTGAAGCAGCAGCGGCGGCACCAGCAATAACAAAAGGCTTCGACAAGAGGATCGTGAGAGTAACGGTTCTCTACTCCGGAAGTGGTCACGATAGAGACATCGCAGAGACAGAGGCAGCCTGTTCACCTATCATATCTTGCAAGCATGGACATGTACAGGGTACAGCAAGTACAGAAGAGCACAAGCGACCGAGTACGTGCACAAAGGCTCAGAAAAAAGGAAAGGCCGGCTCAATAGGTTCATGCCGATACGGACTTTGTGAGTCTTGCGGTCGAACAATGGGAGCTACATGGAGGTGCATAGGCGAAGAGCAAAGACAAGACCACTAACCACTACATCAGAAAAGACGCCGTCAGGTGCGATGCCAGAGGCGAGTGGCAGGGGGCGAGTTGGAGAACCAGGCATCGGCTCGGGGGGGATGGGAGCGTCCGTTGGGCAATAGTCAACTTCATGGCAAGTGCTTTCAGTTAGATAACCTTCTTCCAAACGAAACGACTTGGATCTGGATCTTTGTCGCTTAGGTTCTGGGCTCAGACTTTTGGATCATGGGATTCAGGTGAGGTCTAGAAATTCGGGCAGCAATGCTGGATGAGCTTAGACAGGCGCCGTGGCACAGCCAACGGCGGTGATGCTTTAGTGGGGCTTGTTGTTGATGCCAAGTCTTGATCCCCGAAGGTTCAGTCTTTTGCGCGAGCATGTCTTCTTGTCAGGTTTAGGTTTAGGGCGTCAGAACCTCAGAATCGATAACTTACAACCTGTGCCCCCACGCGTTGATTCTCAGGGCAAGCTGCACCTCGTGGATTTGGCCGGCAGCGAATGCGCAAAGAAGGGTGGCTTCATCTACCCAGAGGACGCAAAGAATGTTAAGCCACAGTTGAAGCTGCCCTGTCAGTGGAAACAAGAGTAAGGCTTAGCAGATGCCATAATGTAGACCAACATCTCGTTCTTGTTGATGTATGTTGTTTTGCAATGTTAGGGGGACTTGTGTTGCATATTGTGACAGGTATCATGACAGGTATCATATGCTGCCGTAAGCCCATGCGCGATTGGTACAAGATACGTTGCCGCATGTTTGTGCTCATCGGTTGGCGATCCAATGTGTTGGGAGATGTCTGTCTATGTCGGAATGCTGCGAGTGAAATGGGGGCATTTCAGGACATGCCAGCTCATGCGATCTTGTGCATGTAGCCAAGTTCAGTTCAACCCTTGGCTTGGGATTTCGCACAATTGTATCAAGTTCTGCCACTCTGCCTATAGTTCGCCTACCTTCATTAACATGTGTTCATACAAGTGCCTAAGCATCGACTACATGTTTCTGTAAGCCAATGAAAACATGAATAAGCAGACAGATGTAAATATAAGAATGGATGGATCCTGACATAAACAACTAAATTCATAAGTAAGTACATAAACAAGCTCATGAGCAAATACATAAACAGCTACATAAATAGTGAAACGAACAGCCAGCATGTAAATTGGTTTGTATATTTATATATATATATATTACGTGGGAATGTATATGTATATATATATATATACGTATATATACAGGTATATATGTATCATCTTTTGTATTATGTTTACGTTTCCAAGCAAGTTCATGAACATGATCGCAGTACAGATATAGATACATAGTCTCTAGAATAGATATATACATAAATCCATAAACAGACAAAGATATACGTGGACACACACACACACGTATATATATATATATATATACACATAACCATAAACATATATATATATATCTATATATATATATATTTCCATTTATAATTCATGTTTATATTTATATGCTCATATACACACATACACGCGTACATGTACATGTCTCTCTATTTCTGAAGGCATTGTCCTTCCTTGCTTTCGTTCTTACTGTATTTAATTACCATTGCATGTCTCTATGAAGCTTCAGTCTGTGTTCTCCAGGATACCTCCCAAGCTGCTCGGCTCCTAGCAGGGCAGGAAGAGGAGCGTGAGTTCCGAGCTCAGACAGCTATCTTCAGATTGCTTCCCAGTACCTGTGCAGATATAGGTATGTAAGTCCGTATGTATGTACGCATGCAGCCTGCATGCATAGATGGATGGATGGATGGATGGATGGATGGATGGATGGATGGATGGATGGATGGATGGATGGATGGATGGACAGATGGATGCATGGATGGATGGATGGATGGATGGATGGATGGATGGATGGATGGATGCATGGATGCACGGACGGACGGACGGACCTAGATAGGTCGATATTTGTTGTCGTAGTCGTGGTGGATGTACACAGAATCTGTAGGCAGCACAGAACATGACTGCCACATTCAAGCCCAAAGTCGTATGCTCATAGCAGTCATAGCATCACTCTAACTTTGCATCCTTAAGCCCTAGCCGCAAACCCTTCCTTATGCAGGGTGCCAATTTCTCATTGTCTTCAAAGCGCCTCCGCACTGTCTAGACTGCGAAATTCAGAAAGTCCCGTAGGCATGAAGCCTCAACACACGGGGAATGAGAGCCTCCCATCCTCAAGTCATCTGGAAATCAATCCGCATCCAAAGCCCAAGGCCCCAACAGTCAATTCCCAGGCGCCGCTCCATCAATCAGAGCTTGCTGACGCTGGGCCGTGTCATCACCGCACTGCGAGAGGTCCTTTTGCACTGAAATCACCTGTAACTAGAGCGAAGATCACGAACGCCCGCACAACAGCTGCCACAACACGACCACCAAACACCACCCCAAAGCCAGCAGTAACACTACCATCATCAGTTCTGACTGCTTCAACATCTATCTCTGGTCCGACTGCTGCTATTGCTGCTGCAGCCCCTCTCTACTCATGCTCCTTCTCTCGCAACGGAAGGAGTGGTAGTGGCACTGGTGGAAGTGGTGGTCGTAGCTGCAATAGTGCAATAGCCGTAGCGCGCCTTGAGTCAGTCCGGCTCTCAACAGACGATGAGCATATGCGCCACCACTACGAGGGTCCGTTGAACCGACCGAACAGGCGCGAATGCTCCTCAAGTCTGAACACAACTCTCTACCAGAGTCTGCAAGTGACAATCGCAGAGATAGCCGTCCGGACACGGCCTTGTTTCCATGAGCACTATCACTGGCTGTACTGCAACGAGCGTTGATTCACTTTCTGGGATGAAGTTGCAGGGGAAGCCCCTAAACATTCTCTCCTGGTCCTAGTCCCCTAAACCCCGAAGCACTAAGCCTCTGAACTTATGAGCCCCAAACCTTAAACCCTTGAGGGGTCCCCGAAGCTGTAAGCCTCTGAACGCCCAACAAACTGCAACAAGCATCCTAAACCCTGATATTCCACGTTATGGTGCGAGTCTGCAGGGCTCCGGTCGGGTGCCGTATCGAGATTCGAAATTGCCAGGAGCTTATGGAGTGGGCTGTGCAGCATATTTTGACAGTAGGTCACCCTCGCGTGGAATCGCACACAAATACCTACATACGTACGTACGTACATACATACGTACATGCCCATATACAGAAATACATATATACAAAGTTACATGAATAATCGAGACATATAGACATACACACATATATACACGTATATACAGATATACATATACATATACATACATGTACATATATATATATATACATACACACAATACATACACACAATAAATGAATGACCATATAGAGACAGATAGATAGATAGATAGATAGACAGATAGATAGATAGATCGATAGATAAATCGATAGATAGAAAAATAGGTACATGAAAAAGCACAGATATGTAACTGTATAACTTTGTAATAAATAAGTACGTAAATATATTCATGAATAACTACGCACGTTTATAATTTTGAAATATACATACAAACATACATATATATATATATAGATGTGTAAGTATTTAAGTATGTTTACATATATATATATACACATACATGTATATATGTATATACACATATATACACATGTATATATAATATTATGTGTGCTATGTAAATATACATAGATGTACATGGATGCTGCTGGCATCATTATCATGAACATGGCTCGGTCTTGTCATTTCTCTCAGTATCATTGCTATGAGCACACAATTCTGTGTGCATATTTTTCATCTACTGGTACATGTGTTTCATGAGATACGATGTGCTGTGCTTGCTGTCGGCTTTCCCTCGAGCTTCCCAATCGGCTATGGTGGGCTGAAGCCGAGAAGGCCCCCTCGTGACCGCCTTCACGATGGATGACGAGCCTTTTGCCCAAGCGGAGACTCACCGTGCCCGAGGCAATGAGCTCATGAACAAGGGCGACTATGCTGATGCCACGGATTGCTACGACAAGGGCTTGGTGGCTTTGCTATCAGCCAAAGGCCCTGCTTTAGAAGACATCCAGCAGCTGCGTGCTGCCCTGCATCTGAACGCCTCCCTGGCGCACCTGCGCCGTGGCAATCTCGCAAGTGCAGTAGACCACGCAAGTGGCGCCTTGCAGGTGGCAGCGAAGACCGAGGCCCGTGTGAAGGCCTTGTACCGTCGTGGCCTCGCCCAGGCCAAGCTTTTAGAGCACGGGCACGCCGAGATGGCCCAGCGCGCGAGGGCCGACTTCGAGGCGGCCCTGTTCTTGGACCCGGAAAACGGGGAGGCGAGGGCACAGCTAGACCAGCTGCAGTCCAAGCTTCGGGCCGAAGAGAAGGACCTGAACCGACAACAGCGGGAGACTTTCAAGAACATCTTCTCTGGAAAGCCGCTCTACGAAGCATCCGAGGCTCCCCCAGCTGTGCTCCGGGAGACGCGGGGGGTTGAGCACCCTGTGCTTTTATCCGTGGAGGATGTGGGCTTTGCGTACAACCGAGGTGAGCCTGTTCTGCGCTCCGTGTCTTTGGAGCTGCGTCGGGCTTGGTGCACAGGCTTGGTGGGGATGAACGCCTCGGGTAAGAGCACCCTGGCACGACTGCTCTGCAATCAGAACCGGCTGCAATCTGGTACCTTGCACCACCGCTGTGATGAAGAGAGCCCTTCTGCGCCTGCCAGATCTCGGGCAGTCGGGCAATTCATGAAATTCGTGTCGATCCCCCTATTGGTGCTCATCCTGGCTGTTGGGTTTGGGCCACTCAAACCGTTCGAGGCCAACGTGCAGATACGGCTGGCCGCTGCGTTGATGCTGGCCCTCACAGGGGCTGCCTGTATGTACCACTTCGGGCGTCCGCAGGCAGGGGAGGTGCGGCACCTGGTGCTGTACCTGTCGAGTGAAACCTCGGACAAGGACCCGGGGGTCTACCTTAGAGTCCCTTTAAACTTATGTTACATCATAACGCAAATGCCCGCTTCTGATCGCTAAGCCGGCTTTCAGCTTGGAGCAACCGGTCTTATTCTCAGGCTCCAGAGCCGCCATCCAAACCCAACAAGACCAGAGGTAGCATCCTGAACCCGAAAGCCTCTAAACTAAACCCTTCAATCCCAACACCCCAAAACCCAGCACCCCCAAAACGCCCCAAACCCGGAACCCCAAACCATAATAAGTCCAGAGCCCTAAGCCCCGAAAGCATCTCCGCCAATCACAGGAATCCTTGGGCCCGTCGAAGTCCATCGAGGCAGTGGTCGGCGAGGCACTGCCCCCGGCAAGGCGGAGCTTTCTTAGGTCCCATTTTCCTTTTTTGGTTAGGGTTGAGGGTTTGGTAAACATGCTACACCCTGGGCCCTTCATCCTTAAGCCCCAGACCCCTTAGCCTCAACACCGACCACCCCTCATCCCTAATCTGCAAAGCTGAAAAAAGCCCCCTGAACCCCTGAAGGCGAGCTGAGACCGTCGTGAAGCTGCTGAGGGCAGCGGGGTGGCGCGGCCAAAGATGTCGGGTGCTAAAGTGCTAAGCCCTGACCCGAAAGCCCGAACGCCATTTCTGAGTCAGGGTCGAGCTACAACGGTGCGCAGCCCCATGTCACCTAGTATTCTCGTGACTGCCACAATGCTGTTTGCTTGTATTATGGTTGTACGTGCATCTATACTTGCGAGCCCCATGAGCAATGATGATGACAGTAGGACAGTACCTTGTGTCATCCTTATGTTTTTTTCTGAACATGCACGTCATACCTTGATCCCTCATGCAAATCACCCTAAACCCTAAACCCTAAAGGCCCAAGCCCTGAACTCTTCGAGGTTTCAGATGTACAACCAGGAGACGGGTGCGCCCGTGGGGAGCCCGGAGGAGCCGCCGATCATGGGAAGGGTCTTTCAAACCCTTGAGAAACCTCATCCTACACCCTGGAACCCTCGACTCCCTAAGCCCTAAAGCCTCAACCCTGAAGCCCTGAATCCGAGTCTTCTTCTTGCTGGAGGAGTACGTCCGAGATGGGCTCCGATATGGAGAGCTCTCAGGTGGGCAGAAGCATCTGATCTACGTGCTCCGCTACTTTGCGCGGTGCCTCGCAGCGACCGGCCCCCTGGGCTAAGGTTTAGGGGTTGTAGGCTTTCTGGGTCTACGGTTTAGGAGTTTAGGATTTGTCGTTTGTTTGAGTTTTGGGGTGTGTGAGGTTTGGGGGTTTAGGGTTTTGTTGGTTTAGGGCCGCAAGAGCCGCCATGGTTGTTGGTCATAGTCATACAATTTTTCTGCAAGCACGAGGCTTATGATGCCTTTTTGCATCGTGGCTCTCTGCCCCCTTTTTTGAGGCCCAGTGGTGTTGCTTTGCGACGAGCTGCTCGGGGGCCTCGATTACCTGCGCCAGCCCCGGGTGCTTCGGATGCTGAAGCGCTTGCAACGGGACGCCGAGCTTCAGATTTCCGATACCCCTCTTAGGCCCGAGCTCCCTAAGCAGCCCCTACACTTAGTGCCCTAGAGGTCTCTAGGTATTGAAAGACAGCTCAAAGCGATGGACCGCAAAGGAGCGCAGCATCTCGGTGCTTTACATCTCTACAGAGCTCCACCAGCTACTCTGCTTGTTCTGGGACGGGAAGGATGGGGGGGAAGATCTAGACCATTCAGGCACCCGGTTGCTTCCATGACTTGGGTCATCCGTCCAAGCATCTCAAAGTCCTCCTTTTTTTCCAGGTCTTAAGAACCCTCCTCGATTCCTGGATCCTCCATGAAACCATCTCAACCCGAACCCTTTGCAATCGGAGGGGAAACGCGGGGACCAAGTTTCGACAGATAAAAAGGCTGTTCTTTCAGGGCTGTAGTGGTTGGAATCCCGATGCCCTGAACCCTGAACCGCTCCTGAAGGATCCCTGCCCGCTTTGTCCCCAGGCTCCACCTCGTGGCAGACGACTTTGCTTTCCTTCATGACGGCGCCGTCTGTGAGTTCGGACCTGCCGAAGAGGTTCGGGGGTTTCGGGTTTCGGGTTTGGGTTTAGGGTTTAGGGTTTGGGTTTTGGGTTTAGGGTTGCGCAACAAGGCGTCGGGTGCAGACAAGTCTTCGTACACAGAAGACTTTTTGCCAGGTGATGGAGTTCCCGAAGCATCCGGCCACGAAGGATTACCTTCTCCAGTTCAAGAGCCTTCCGGGTGGGCAGAGGCTTGGGGGGAAGCTGGCGGAGGCCTACGAGAAGCTTTCCGAGGATGCCGATCTCAACGCGGACTGGCTCTCTCTCGCTGCCTAAGCAGCCCTAGACCCTGAAGCCCCAAAATCCGGAGCCCGACAGCTCCAGATCCGAAACCCGCGAGGCCTGAACATGCCCAGTGGCCTTGGGCCCGAAAGATGCCTGCGCGCCGGTCTGCGAGACGGCCCGCTGCAGCTGGGAAAAAAGGGCGCTCGCAGAAACAGGGAAGCTGTGCTTGGAACTTTGGCTCTTCTGCTCTACTCGTACCTGGGAAAGCGACTTCTATTGCTACTTCACTACCGCATGTACCGGAGCACAAGCGGCGTCAGCACCGGCAACAGCACCTCTAGTGACTCTAGTGCCGCTGGTACCGGCACTTGCAGCAGCATCAGCACTACGAAACCGTCATGTTTCAGCAGGAATCCAGCACCAACACAACGAAATCAACCCCCCCAGCCCTGGCATCACCATGATCACCACCGTGATCGCCATCACCATCAGTCCATCACCATCATCAGCATCATCACCATCATCACTTGCTGCTTGATTGTCTTCGTCTTTAGCGGAGCGTCGTGGTCGTGGTCCCCGTCATCATCATCTTCAAGAGCAACAGCTTGCCATCGGTATCATTGTCACGGGCACGCCAATGAGCACAGCTGACACCGTGCGATCGCTAGCATCAGCACCAGCACCATGCCGCATGTTGATTTCGATAGCTGTTGTGATGATGTTACAGTATGTCAACAATCGTGTTGCATGTTGTTGCCAGTCTTCATGTGATTTTGCAATCTTTCTCTCTAGTCCCTTCTTATTGCGCCCGTTATTCACGGCCTCGGTAGCCGTCCTAAACTTCACCTTCTGCTACTTGGCTTCTGCGGCTGCCCGTTTTTCCCTTAAGGACCCGTCTTCTGCAAGATGCCCTGGGCGGGCGCTGCAAGACGGTCATCATTGCGACCATTTCGCCGGCAGGGTGCCCACTTGGTGCCTAGGGGCAGGGGAGGGGCTGAACTTTGCCGCAGTCTTCCCTTTGCGACGACAGCGCTATCCACTGCCATGTACCCATAACCCAGAGGCCCGAAGCTTCCGAAGCATGGAGGTATCTTCTTGGCCCCAACGAGACTTCCAAGCCAAGATCCCACGAAGCGAAGAAGGCCCAGCTGCTGCTGTTGCAAAGGCCTTGGCAGCGGTCGAGGAGACCATCTCTGCCCTCAGCTATGCAGAACAAGCCGCCGGCATCAAGAACCGGCCAGCCGGGCAGGGGCTTCGCAGAGTTAAGGGTTTGGAGTTTAGGGCTCTGGGCAATTGGTGTTTGTATGCCATGTGGTCTGCGAGAGTGCTGAGAATGCGCGTGTTTCTAAGGAGACCGGCTTGGGGGATAGGATTCTGCGGATTCTGAAAAAATCGTGGCCTTCTCGTCGCGGCCTAAAAACAGCGCCTAAAAGCCTTGAGCTGGGAGCGACAGTGGCCCCCGGAGCATTACATCTCACGGGCAAAAGCGCTGAGGTCAAATCCTACAATCCAAACCCCTATGACCCTAAATCCCCCAAACACCCAAATCTCAAAACACCAGTAAGGTCTAAACTTGAATGATTGCGACCCATGTCCCAAAGTCCCTACATTCCGAAAGTCTAAGCCCCACACCCCGAGCCCGAAGCCTCGCGGCAGTCGGACACCCAAACTCCCGCAACCTTAAACCATAAGCTCAAAACGATCAACCTCCCAAAAAAGCTTAGCAACAAAACAAAGCTCAAGCTGAATGCCTGAAACCCTTGTCAACAACTCAACAAACCCGATACAAGCCTGAAGCCCTGTCAAACCGTATTCGATTCGATTCGATTCTATTCGCAGATGCAAAGTCAGAAGACGTTGTATTGCCGAACCAAAAGCCAGGAAGCCTCAAACTCTACGTCAGGATTTTCAACCCAAAGCCCTAAAGCCCGAAATGACTTCTTTGCTTCAAAACCCAGAGAGGCCTGTTGCTTCTTCCCTGTTGCGCACGGCCACCGTCGCCTCGGCTGCACGGGCAGCGGACGTCAGTGCGCCACTGAGGAGGGTTTGAGGTTTAGAGTGTGTTTTGTTTTGAAGGAGGGGCTGTTCGAGGTGTCCGTTCAGTTTCTTCAGGGTATTGGGATCAGGGTCTCCAGGTTTCGGGTTTGGTGTTCACTGCATGGATGGGTCTAGGGGCTTAAACTTCTTTTGAGCCTATTGGTATGGGGCTTCGGGGGGTTGGGGAGTCGTCTACGGGTTGAGGGATGACCGACGCAAGAGCTTTCTCAGGAGGCGTGGCTCTGAGTTTTCAAGCCCAGGACCCTACAGTGGCCACCATGGCAATCACGGTGTCCGCTGCGGAACTCCGAACAGGATTTGGAAATCTGGAGCCAAAACCTGTGGCCTTAACCCCAATCCTAAAACTCACGCCCTAGACGCACACCCTCAAAATCTCAACTCCTCCTCTAAGCCTCAAAGCTTTTTAAGACCACGGCTATGCTCTCCGCTGAGGTTCGAGCTCCGGGCTTGGTGCCTCCGATTGGGCGGAGCTCGAAATGAAGGCCGTCTGCGTTGAATTGCCGATACAAACACCCCCCCCAAAAAAAAACAACGAAGGGTCAACAGTTGGGGCTTGGGGCCTTTGGTGTTTCGGGCTTGGGGGTTTGGTGTTTCCGGTTGTGGGCTTCGGTTTAATCCAAGGTAGGGGCAGTGACGACGGAGCTACGGCTTGTATGAGGATTGGTGTTGTGGGGGGTTTTAGGCGTCTCGTGACTTCAGAGCGGCCTGCGATGGAAACCCTGGAAATCAAGAACTCTAAAGCCAAATGTCCAGCAAAGCCACATGCCAACCCGCAAGACTCAATACTTTACTTGTTGACGTACAGATGTGTACATACATACATACATACATCCATTCATACATACGTATGTATACATTTATCACACTACATAACTACATAACATACATTGTGTATGCGTACTAATGCAAGAAGTCTGAAATCGTGAGCCCATGCGCGTCGAGGTCACTTATCTCGCGCAAGAGCTCGAGGAGGCTCAGGTCTGAACCGATCTGACAATTTATGCTTTTTGGGGTTTTGGGGTTTAGTGGTTGGGGGTTTCAGGGGTTTCAGGGGAGTGAGGGTGTAGGGTTTAGCTGATACAAGGTTTCACGAACGGTATACGGTTCAGTGCCTGGGGCATGCCGGGGCGCGGGATGTCTTACGAATACTGTTCTCCAGGGTTCCTTATGATACTTATGCTAGAATATACACCAAAATCTTGCACTAATTGTTAAGGCCCTTCTCGTGACTCTAGTAGGGTCTCGAGGAGTGAGTTCGGGCGTTGCAAACATCGGGATTGCAAGAGGTCGTGCTTTGGAGAAGAGCTCGAACTCAGGGATTTGTTCACACATTTAGTTCTGCATATATATTTTCTATACACAGGCATATATTTGGAAATATTTGTATGCGTATATGTACGCATTCTTGTCTGGCTTCGTGCCCCCTGGTGATCCCCCGTCAGGTGGCTCTCGGCCGGAAGTACCAGGAGGCGCAGGCCGCTTGCCCGCTTGCTCACATGATCTGGCTTTCCGGGTTTATGGTGTGTGCAGCTGTGCTTGCCGTGTGCATCCCAAGCCCTAAACCCCAAGCCTACTAAACCCTAAACCCCTAAACTTTGGCCCTAAACCCTAAACCCTAAACCCCACTTCTGAAGCCTCCTAAACCCCAAACCCTAAACCCTATGGGTCGAAGCTGCCCAGGAGGAGGCCGAGCGTGCAGCGCGGGCCGAAGCGCGCATGGAGGCGGGAGGGTGGGATGTTGGGAGGAGGGTTTAGGGTTTAGGAGTT